AGGACTTGTCTAGACAGCTGTTCCGGGCCTCGGCAAGTTGTTTGTTTATATATTTGTTTTGATTTGCGCCACGGGACATGGCGGTTGGCCACAATTGCGACACATTGGCCAATGGCAACGTTCTGTCGCGCCTGAGTGGCAACGCCGGCCGCGGCGCGACAGAGGCGCCTTCGCATCCAACTGGCCACTCGGACCACACAAGTCAAGATGGGAATTTTAGCTTAAATTCACAATTTATAAAAAATTATAAATAAATAAAAATTTAAATAAAATAAAAGTAAATAAAACGTTTTTATGTTATGAATATATATTCTTGATCAGGGGATAGGCAGTAAGTACATACAACGGAATCGTTTGTTTTCATAGAAAATATCGGATAATAATGGGTTTTTGTTTATAAGAATTTCCCTCTTTCTTGCTATATTAAAATACATGCCAAATCTTGATATTGAAGCTCTATTAAATATATATTTAGCATATATGTATGCAAAAATGGAAAATACCCATTGAGTAATAAATTTTTTTTCATTTTTTAATCAATGGTCAATGCTTTAGGTACGCCATTTTTCTGAGTTAAATAATTTCCCTCTTCGCTGTTTACACATCTTTGAATTTTAATCACGTCTTACAAGTATGTTTGTATGCATATGTATGTATGCACAGCAGGCTGCGGCTGCACCAGAGCTGTGGTCAATATGACGGTTGGGAGGGGTAATTCAAATATCCACAGCGCGCACGCCACTGATCGCAACCCTTTTGATCCCGTTAACTCAACTATGCATTTTTGTGCATTTTGTGCCTCAGTTGTTGTTGTATGAGTGCGAATGCCCGCTGAGCGCAGGTAGAAGCTCAATGAAGGAAATTAGTCTGTGCGCGCTTCGCCTGTTTGTCGGTCGCATTGTCTACGCGTACGATTAAAGTCGGGTTCTAACATAGCTAGATCAATCTAATTTAGTTAAACGTGATTAGCTTGTGCTGTGTAAGTGTGTGTGTAGACTGTCAAATATTAATTTGTGTACAGCCGCCATTGCATTAAACGATAAAAAAATGCGTTTAATTTATGATGCCGAAGTTTTTCACTGAACACAAATTGGCGCGCGCAGCGAGAGAGGGAGAGAGAGAGAGAGAGTGCGCGAGAGTAATTATAAGCTTGTCTTGAATGGACAAGCGTGCGCTTGCATGTATATTTGCTTATGTTTATTTACCGCAATTACATTATGGTATCTATCTTACTCTTTATAACCTTGCAGAGGGTATAATTATTTTCCCACGTAATATGTAACGCAGGCGTCTCTGCTCCCGCTAAGCATATGTATATTGCCTTGGTCGCTGTCAACTGGCATTTAAATCTATTTCAAAATTCATGTTTAAAGGGTGCCCTCAAATATCCTATATAGACATAGGTCGAAATTTCCCACCTCCATGAATGAGAAAATAAACAATACTTCAGGTATGCTGATTTAACTGTGTCTAATAATTTCGACGACTGCTGTTGACACATCTTTCACTTTTAATTCCGTTTTACATATGTTTGTATGTATATGTATGTATGTACGACAGCAGGCTGCGGCTGCACCAGAGCTGTTGTTATGGGGAAGGGAAGGGGTTATTCAAACGTCTATTGCGCGAACGCCACTGATCGCAACACTTTTGATCCCGTTACTTTAACTATGCACCGACGCAAATCCTCTCACCATGCTCTCCGTTTTTGTTGTATTAGTGCAAGCGCCTGCTGAGCCTCGGGACGAGCTTAATGAGGCGAATTAGTCTGTGCGCGCTTCGCCTATAATTCGGTCGCATTGTCTACGCGTGGTGTATTTAATGTCGTGTTCTAACAGGGTTAAATTAATAATTTTTTTTCAAGTCTGATAAGTTTGTGTTGTGTATGTGTGTGTAAATTGTCAAATATTAATTTGTTTACCGCCGCCATTGCATTTAATCATAAAATAAGTGCTTAATTTCTGATGACGCACAACATAATGCGCATGCTGCGAAAGAGAGGAGAGAGAGAGAGAGAGAGAGCGGGAAATCGCGAGAGTAATTTGAAGCTTTTCTTGAATGGGTAAGTGTGCGTTTATTATAGTATGTATGTATGTATATATTTATTTACCGTAATTAACTGGAATACATTTTGGTATTTATCTCCTGCTTTATTACTGTGGGGAGGGTATAATTGTTTTCTTACGTAACATGTAACGCATGGGAGAACACGTCGCCGATCCTATTATCACGAAGTCGAAGCTGAATCGTTCAAATTTTTTTTCTATAATAATATCGAAAAACTAGAATTGCTGAAGAGATCTCTTGGTTTATACATATGAATGTATATTAATTTGTACGAGTCTCCGCTTGGCTCATGAACAATATGAACTAACTGAACCAGTTCTCAACCCGGCATTGACTAGTTCAATTGAACATATCTGGGAATGGAACGACAAAAACAGCTCCAATCAAAACCATATTTCAAACAAGCAATGCGCACAGCAACAACAAACAATGCCGCGCGGAGGCGACCGCGACGAGGCACACAATTTAATGCACTCTCCAGTCGAGTCGGTTAATTCCCCGTGCTCTTTTGCAGCCCCATCAGGTGTTGCGGCGGCGTTGACTTTGTGGGTCGCCCTCCCCACGCACCCTCCCCCTGCCCTCCATTAGAAGCGCAAATTGTTTATGCTACTTTGTGAGCAATAAAAGTGCAAAAGGCAGGGCAGGACAGACGCGGAACCAGGCCATGTGGGTGGTCGCTATGTTGCCCCAGCCACAGACCGTGCCCCTGCCCCTCCCCTCTGCCCCTTTCCCCTTTCCCTTTCTATGTAAATGTCCGCGAGTGCTAATCACCGGCAACTCTTCAAAGTCGCTCGTGTGGAATTAATCGGCGTATTGTATTGTATTTGAGCAACAGGATGTTGCACGGATTGAGTCTAACAAAATCCCTGTGGGAGCTGAATCATAATTGAATTGATTTCTGGTGAAAGCGGCCACTTGTAAGTGTCGGGGAGGACTGGGAGCTAGGCTGGGGCCTTAATTTGACTTAATTGTGTCATTACGAGGCGCGTATCTCTGTGCCCCGAAAAGGCCTGGGAAAAGTGCGCCGCACTCAGCTCAAGTGCGACTTTGAGCACATTAACGATGATCTTGGATAGCTCTCTGTTGTTGTCGGTTGCAGTTTGTTGACCTTTCGACTGGGAACTTTGCCCTCAGTATCGTTTTGTGATTCCGTTTCGATGCGCTTTGTTGTTTCTAGGTGCATCTATTTATTTACACTTGTCAATAAAATCGACATCATTTGCATTTTGATTTGCGCCTCAGATCAACAGGCTATGAAAACAAATCATTTCTCATTGCTCATTTCGCAAATTTACCAATCGCATATTTACGTCTTCATAATTTGCACTCAGTTTTGCAGTTTTACGATTTGCCGACTTCTCCGATTGAGATCTATTTTTATGGGCCTGCAGGGCCCCAAAAGATGCGAGGAGCTGTTTATGTCTGAGCTAAAGGGGACTCTATAATTTAACTGTTTTATAAAAAACACAACACTTAATATTTATAATAAAACATTTCGCTTTATATATATATTTTATTTCAAATAATATTTAAAGATAGTTTCATTTTAAATATTCAAATTCAAACGTTATTTGAGCATAAGCTTTTGGTTTGAGTCCAGGCTGTGTAACAGTGCGTAAAGTTCAAATGCGGTGTGCGTCTAGGCTTACGCATTATTTGGTGTGTAACTGTACTAGTTGTTGTCAAGCAGTTAACGACACTGCTTAGCGCAAGCAGTTCAAGCTGTTGTCCCTGCTTGATGAACTAGTTGTGCGCATAATAACATACCAGTATATTTGATCACTGTTGAATGGAACCAGTGTTTAGCTAGGACGCCAACCAATTGTTAGATGCACTGCTTGTTGTTTTATTGTAATGAAAGCAGTTTCAATGCATTGTATGGCAGACTTATGTAATACATGTGGAATGACTTAATTTTTATATGGCAGCAGCAGGCCAGAGTTTTCAGTTTATATGACAGCAGCATATCAGAGTTTTCGTTTATATGCCAACAGATCGTGTCATACATATATGACAGCAACAGACCAAACTATCGTTTTTGTGTCATATTACATCCAGTCAGAACTTAACATGTATATGGGAATTGCTGATCATAATATAATTTGGATATGACAGCAGTTAGACAAGATTTTCATTTAAATATGCCATATTTATATGGCGGACGAGTAGTTCATGTCGCACAGCATCAGGTCACATCTTAATTTGTATGACAGCTATGCAGCTAATTGTAAATCCTTCCTTTTATATGTCAACAGCATGGCATATACAGGCCAGGGTAGTTATTTATATGGCAACAGCAGCTTTTGTATGGCAATAGCATGATATGACAGCAGCATGTTATACAGCAGCAGGCAGCGTCATTTATATAGCAGCAGCAAACGAGAGTATCTTTTTTATATGGTAGCAAAATGTTTTATATGACAGAAGCCGGCCATAGTTTAATTTTGGTATGGCAGCAGCTAAAGAGTCCTGGCCTGTGTCCTTTATATGACAGCAGCAGCATGACATATAACAGCCAGCCAGAGTAGATATTTATATGACAAGAACAGATCCGTAATTTTGTTTTTATATGACAGCAACAGAGCAGAGTTCATTTATGTATGACAGCGGTATGTCATATGTCAGTAGGTCAGATGGCAACAGCTGGCCATAGTTTCTCTACTATGTGAGAGCTTTATTGCTGTATGGCAGCAGTGTGTCATACATCATCATATTTATATGGCAGCAGCTGGCATACATAGTCCAGGTTCGTAATTCGAACAGTTTGCTTCGGGCTCTAAATCTATCTTCGTTAATCAAGCAGAGCCCGTTTTTGCCTGTTCAAACTATTGAGGTAACACTGTACTCTATTAAGAGAGAGAGAGACAGAAAGAGAGAGAGAGAGCAGCTAAAAGTCGGTGTTTCGTTACGAATCTAAATGCTAGAATTTATTTTAGATTGCAAAAACTTAAATTATGAACCGTGACATACGGCACATACTCCACATACGCCACATATTCCACATACTCCACATACTCTACATTCGGCTAGCACAGTAGACACTCTTGAGTCACGGACGTGCACAACTATTACAGCTATTTAGACACGAATCACAAGCAGCTAATACGAAATTTAATACTCTACAATTAGGAAAATGATTCAAAGAAATTGCTTGCATTTGCTTTGCTTTTTCTTTTTTCTTCTTCTTTTTTTTTTTTGGCAAATTAGAAGTCGCGCGTTTTGTTTGTGTTTTAGTTTACAAATTGGGCTAATCTGGGAGTTAATGCGAATTGCTGTTGTTGCCCGCCTCCGTCGGGGGCGTGGGGTAGAGCAGCTTGCCGTCCGAGTAGCGCATCAGGGTCATCATCTTGAGCATGCGCAGCTCCTCCTTGTCCCGACTGGAGCCGGTTGGAGCCTGGTGATGCGGATGGGGATGATGATGGTTGTGGCTACTGCTCGGCCGGCATCGCGTGCGATCTGCTGACTGGTCGGGTCTTTAAAATACTCAAGTCATTAACATTCTCTAAAAAGCTTTTGTTCGCTGACAATTGTTTCACGCTCTGCACGTCCTTCTTCAGCTCCTCCATGTCGCGCTTCAGCTTGGCGCGTCGATTCTGGAACCATGTGATCACCTATGCGTGCGAAAAGGTTACAAAGTTCCAACAAAAAAAAAACCACAAATCGACTACACTCAGAGAAATTCTTGACTTGTTGAGATTGATTAAAAGTTGATCAATTTTTAAGATTAAACTTTTGAAAAAAGTCAAAATGCGCTTGCAAAATATTTAAAACAAGAATTTGCTTGCTTGAAATAAGCGGAAACAAATTACTCAGCATTCCAAAAAAAAGAATTTTCTTCCAATTTCTCATAAATTAAAATCTCAGAAATTTAATTCTTATCTGAGAAGAATCATAACATCGCAGATTGATAATGATTTTGAAGAAGTTTTCCTCTCAGCTCTCAGAATTTTAAATCTACTCCGACCAAGCACTCCAATCGTTTCTCTGAGTGTATTTGAGAGTGTATTGCATTTGAATACTCACCTGCGCATTGGAGAGACCCAAACCGGCGGCAATCTCATCACGATCCGCTGGCGACAGATATTTCTGATAGAGAAATCGTTTCTCCAGCTCAAAGATCTGTTGATTCGTAAATGCGGTGCGCGATTTGCGCTTCTTCTTTGGATTCGATCGCGTGGCAAAGATATTCAGCGTGGCGGGATCTGAAATAGAATGCCATAAATAACGATTACAACTGGCGAACTGAAGAACTGCCGAACTGTCAAAGCTGGGCATCAAAAAAGGTTCGAAATATCTGATCTGATGCCTCCATAAAAACAACAAGTAAGAGGTTCTAGTCGGGAGCTCCCGACTAGGGGATACCCTGAACCCTCTTCTTCCAACATCAAATGCATATATATATTCTATTTTAGAAGCTATATGTCAAGTTTGGTGACTCTAGCTCTTATTTACCAAAATTGCCCAAAAAACAGGATATCGATATCGATTTTTATCGATTGCTTAGAAACGGAGTAAGTTATCGATTATCGGAAACAAACTCGATCGGCGCGGGAGCTAGGAGCACCTACATCTAAATTTCAAGTCTCTAGCTCTTATAGGTTCTGAGATCCTTGCGTTCATACATACGGACAGACGGACGGACAGACAGACGGACATGGATAGATCGACTCGGCTATTGATGCTGATCAAGAATATATATACTTTATGGGCTCGGAGATGCTTCCTTCTGCCTGTTACATACATTTGCATTTTGCACAAATACAATATACCCTTTTTAGCCATTTTTAATGGGTTCAGGGTATAAAAAGTGCCTCTATTAAGTGTTCCGGCTTTCCTTTGGGCCACTTTCCACACAAAACGCGCACTAGTTAAAACAATTTCCAATGGAATTCCAAATATGCCCCGCCTCCAAAACACACGCTCATAAAAAAGAAGAGTGTGTGGAATTTGCTTTGTTTTATATGTATATAGACAAAACGCTTGGATGTTAACCGATCTTAAAGTTTTTATGGCCCCGGCCACAGTTTTGGGGCTTGTTTTCTTAAGCGCTTCGTTTGGCATTTGATTCGGTTTTGATTGCCGGCATTTGTTTTGTTAGCATGTTTAAAGGTAATACGCACGCTGATTGATTTTTGCTCGGGTCGGAAACCATATTGTGCATTGTTTATTTACCCGCAATGCGTATCTTTCATTGATGCCCATCAATTTGTGCGGACATGGCCTGAATTGCGCTCGAAATAGCAGCGGAAATGGCGGGTAGCAAATGCTCGGCGAGTCTCTCGGGGCAATGGCAGCTGGTTGCGCGACTTTTAACCCCCTTTGGATTGTTGTTAAACATGAGGTACAACAATTAACAAATTGAGATGCGCCGCGATCACAAGCAACAAGCACCAAGGACGAAGGACTACGAGTCGATCAAGGGGTTGTTTTTGCGGTTTTCCTGTTTTTTGGGGCTGCGTTTAACCCAGAGCCATTTTGACACCCTTGTGATGTGTTTATTCTTAAGTCCATTTATCGAGACCGGTCCGAAACGCCCTTCTCTAGTCGAGCTGCAGGCCAAGGGTAGCACGCGCATTATCATTTAGGTAGAACAACATTTGTATATAATGCAATATTGTATGGAAAGTCACGTAATTATATTCAGATAGTCCCAAAGAACTCAAGATATAGATGGAGATGTAGAGATAGATATATAGATAAATAGATGTGTATAGATATCTCTATATAAAAAAGCTAATATGTACAATTCGCACGAGCAATGCCGGGCAATACTCGCTAGTATAGATATATGGGCATAGATATGTATGGATATGTAGATAAATATGTAGGTATATAGATATAGATGTCGACATAGATAGGAAGAGATACATAGATAGATATATAGATAGATAGATATAAAGATATATATGTAGGTCTATAGAAGACGACATAGATAGGAAGAGATATATAGATAGATAGACATATATATAAATATGTAGGTATATATATATAGGAGTCAAGATAGATAGGAAGAGATACATAGATAGATACATCTTATGTACATCATGTTATCTTATATCAATCAATCAAGCTGTGTCGAGCTTATGTAAGTGACATTATTATATGGCAGCCGTATTCCGTCTAAGTCTCAATCGATTCGCTGTAATAAGTTCGAATTTGCCAAACAAAAAAAATCCCCGCTAGTTGCCAATTAAACTTTGGCCAAAAAAGTGCGCCCCCTTTCGCTTTTGTTGTGTGTAAGATGTGTGCCACGCCTCTCATTAGAGTTACATTTTGTAGGTGTGTGTGTGCAAGTGTGTGTGAGTTTTGGGCTGGCCAAGTCGTGCTCTCCAGTCGCCCAGTCCAGTCGCAGTGGCACAACGAGCCGAGGCTCATTCAAATTGGCCAAATGAATTATGGCCTGCGCCCACAAAAGAGCGATGGCATGGGGGTAAGGAGGGGCGGGGGGCGGGGGGCAGGGCAGTGACATGTGCAGAACAAACAATGTCATCAGCATAACTAATCAGAATGACAGGCGACAGAGAGGCAGAGAGTGCGGCAGGGAGAGCGGGAGGGGGTGGGAGAGGGAGTGGGGTGTGCTAGGCAAAAGCTAAGGAGCTGCTGGCGTTTGGGCCAAAATAAGCATAAGTTATGCCAACTGGCCAATAGCGTGGCTAATTGAGAAAACAAACTAAACAAGACAGAAAAGAAAATACGCTCAGTTAGCCGAACTTTAAATACCCTTACGGAGAGCGAAATGTACACAAATAAATGCATAAGATGAGAATTATGACCTTTTCTTTTGCTGACAGTAAGAAATATGATAAGCAAAGCATAAATTATACAATTGCTGCTAAATTTGAACTGGTCACTTCTCTTTTCTGGTTCGACGCTTAGACAGTAGAGCCCGATGCGCACAATTTTAACTCTGCTTTACATTTGATGCTTTTAATATTCATTTACAGCTGCCTAAAAGTCAGCTTTTCAGTCTGGACCAATTCTTATTATATATGGAATCTATTACTATCTACAGTTATTTTTATCTATATCCATGTATCTATCTATCTATCTATATCTTTCTATATCTATCTTTATCTATCTATATCTATCTATATCCAAGTATATCCATCTATATCTATCAAAGTGCATCTATATCTATCAGTATCCACCTATAACTCTGTCTATATCTCTATTTAATCTCTTCTCCAATGCGTGCCACATTTTGTCACAATATTAATATGCCCTATGCAAGAGCATAATGACGCATTGTGCTCAGAATGCGGGCTTGGTTCTTCTACTTCTACTCCAACTGACACTCGCATGGGTTATCCATATATATAACATATATATATATATATATATATATATATATGTATGTAAAGTATATATGTATATATATGTGCTTGTGTGTGCGTGCCTTATCGCCAGATCAAAACTGGGCTCGCTTCTGGGCCTAATGGCGTTGGCGTTAGGTAATTAGGTAAATTAAGTAGCTGCACACAAATGAAAGGCAATTCATTAAATGTGACTGCAGCGACTATTATTGTGGCGTGTAAGCAGGGAGCGCACTGTACAGGTCGCACAACTGCTCAACAGATAAACCAAGACACGGCTTGGCTGAGCATCTCAAATGTGTCAAATGTGGTATGAAAAGCAAAACCAGAAGCAATTATGTTAATTAAGAGAAAAGAGCGAGAGAGAGAGGGAGAGGGAAAGGGAAACGTTTCAATTAAAGCCAACTGTAGATCAATCAGGCATCAGCTATCAGCTGCAATCAGGCCGCCGGCTTCGACAGGCCTAATAAAGTGCAGGGCATCTAATCCGCAGCTAAAAGCCTCGAGCAGCTCGGCCAAGCTGGCCAAGCTGGCCAAGATGTGTATCGGCTAGGAGAAGTGTTTGCATCAGCACAAGGTGCTCGTTTCACACGCTCGTCAAATGTGCCGCAGAGATTGTAAGATGAGCTGCGCTACCTAAAACCCAGATTAGAGATGGGCATGGATCGCGTTCTTCTGGCTGCAACAGCACGAGGAGCACGACCTACAAAGTCAGACTAGAGCTAAGAGAACTTGCTCCAGAAACAACAAGACAAAACTTAAAAGAACTAATAAATATAATAAATATAACAAATTCAATAAATATAATAAATATAATTAATTGAGTATATATAAAATTTATTTAATAAATCTAATAAATAATCTAATAAATAAATCATCTTAAGTCTTAAGTTTTTCGAGTCGAGAGTGCAGAAGTTAAATATTTATTGCAAAGCATATTGCAAAGTTTCTATTCGAACTATTTTTTCTTCATTATTTCAAACCAAAGAAAGTGCTTTAATTCTCATACTTCGAACTTGTTCAATTTACTTGAAAATGTACTATTTTCGTAGAAAAATATGAACTAAATTTCATTTGAAATGAAAAACCTTTTCATATAACACAAATAAACTGAATGATTGAAAATAAAGTGTTGTTGGACTTATTTTCAAGTTTTCTTTTTTGATCAAATATTCAATTTGCATTAATTATTTGCCAACATACTTTTTCCGTGCGTGAGTTTCGTGCTCGTGTTGCGTCCATCTCTAGTCCAGAAACATAGATACAGCAGGAGCATGACTTGAGGAATGTGTTGTGCGTGTGTGTGTGCGTGTGTGTGTGTGTGTGTGTCGGCAACGGAAGACTCAATTAGAAGCCGCTTGTGGGGATTTATGAGCACCAGGAATTTCACATTTTTTGGGTTAGCCTGGCTAAATACCTGCCAATAGCTTTATAAGTTTGCCGCAGCCCGGCTGGCCGAGGGCTGAAATTATGACAAACCGTCGACCTTCGAAATGCAAAAGAGCCGCGACAAAGAGTTTTGCTAAAAGTGTTAATTACATACCCCAGACCCCCACAGACCCCGGCCCGGGCCCTTTTACTCGGACTGGGACTCAGAGTCGGATCCCAGAGCCCGGAGCTGCAGAGCGGACCACAAATTGCGTTGTCCAGAAGCTCGAAAGCGTAATCAAAAACTAATTTTAATCCTGTTTGGGGCCACGCTGATGAGGGATCAGATTAATGCGATGCACTCACTCAGCAGCAGCAGAGGGTGGAGGGGGAGACGAAGTTGAAGAGGAAGACAAAGGCGAACGGAACGATCGGCGATCGCTTTAGCGGTAGGTCCACGTTAATTTATTCTAAATGGCTTTTTGAAAATCTCCGAAACAACACAAGAAAATTTACTTATGACGCTCGCAGCGCAGTTGCGATTCCAACAGCTAAAATGTGCTTGAGTCTGGACTCGATAATACCCTGTAAAAT